ATGTATAAATGCATAAGCTTATATTCATGTGTATGGGTGTGTGTTTATGGATATATTTGTCCGTTTGTATATATTTATATACGCACATATATATCTATATATATATATATATATATATTTGTGTGTGTTTGTGTAAGTATATATAAATGTATATGTATATAATTTATTATGGGCATGTTTATTTATATATTTGTATACATATATATATTGATATATTCATGTACATTGGCTAATTCCTTCTATTACTCCTACTCGTACTGGCACTCGTACATACATACATACATACGTACATATTCATACATTTACATATAAATATATGCATGCATTCGTAGTATGGTATATATATATATATATATGTGAATATATTTATATTGATATATATATAAATATATATAGATCGGCATTTTTGTGTGTATTGAGGTATATATCCATATATATTCATAAAATAATACAAATAACTATCGGTTTGATCCACAATTTTATTCATATTGATACCCTTTCTTATGTGAATGTAAGTGTTGTCCTACGATATGTACGTTCTATCTCATATACTTACACACACATGCTTGCGTAGATTTCATCGAATATGTAAACGAACACGCGATAGCACCTATGTATGTGCTTATTCTATGTTATGTTGTCGTTGACCCTAGTCTTGTTCGCGATATCAATTCAATCTAAATATACTTTATCCGTCCTCCCCGCAAGATCCATGTATCGTGTAATAGTTTTTTATATAAAGTATTGAAATCTAGGGCTGATCTATTCAGTGTTTTCATATAGATTATAGAAGTTTAAGGCTACTCTATTTAGTGTTTTTTATCTAACCGTACCTTCTTATGCGATGCCTTCGTCCCCAGGATGATGAAATCAGGAAGTACCAAGATATTCCTCTCACCATCACTTCGGAATCCGAGCTAGTCGAGTCAGTTATGGGCCAAAGGCAGAGCTGTCAACCCGGAGGTGTGTCCATGTCAATGTCCTCTACCCTCCAAAAGAGGGACTCACTGGACGTAGATAACTTCGTGGGTACCCAGAGACAGGACAAAACTTGGCTTAATTGGATGTCGTGCTCAGCATCTATCATCCCGTCATGCTTTTAGATTGGCTATGCTTAGTCAGAGATGCCTTTGACCGTCTTAGATAGTCAGAGATACATTAGTGCGAGTTACGTTGGCATCCCGTCGTGATTGTGGACCGGAATATCCTATATAGAGACATGTTTGCCTATCAATCTCCGTGGGATGGCTTCCGGTCGTACTTTGACTATCGTCGCGACATATACTTTAATAGTCACAGTAGCTTGCACGCTACATGTAGTTGTGTTTTGCATTGTACATCGAGGTTTCAGGCTGACCTTCTGTTGGTCACGGTTGTGTCCGCTTGTAAACAGGCCGAATCTGTCTTTGCCCACGTATCGGTAGATATTTCTGACGGCGCACGATCACAGGACTGGTGGGGAAACTGATGTAACGGGCTTAACAGGCCGTCAGCAGCATCAGCGAATCAGTCCCAAGCACACACAGTCACGGAGGCAGTCCACTATCATAGAGTCAATCGAAGTAGGCGTTGGCAAAGGGTCAGATAAGCTCGTTGGAGCAGATTTCTGTCCTTTCAGAAGTTAAAACGAGATTTTGGCCTCGTCAAGCCAATACGGTGCCCTCGGCGTTTCACTATTAGAGCGACACAAACACTGGGGAGGCGTGTCGTTTTGCGATGTTGTCAAATGGCGCATAGACTTCCGGTTGAGATGGGGATGGATAGTGGAAACGAGACGAATAGCATAGCAAGAGCTTTTGTATGTAAATCAAAAAACCAAAAATAATTGGGAATAGATTCTAGAAGTAGATCCCTAGAGCCCATAAATATTGCGGGAGATGATCAGTTTGATCACGTGGCCCGTGTCGTGGCTATCCGACGCAGTTTCAGTAGAAACCTATTTGCGAGCAGAGCCTGGCGCATAGGTATTGAGTATAATACCTAATGTTAGTTTTGAAACAAAATTTAGCAAATAAATATCAATCTTATTATTATAGATATTTTTGCACTTGACCTACTGTCGGTTGCATTTTGAGTCGTGGGGGACACTTTGGCAATGGTGCACCCAATGAAGGTACCTGGACGACTGACGTTTCATTCGATGATATATATTAGATACTACTCAATTATTGTTCTTGCTATTGCATACCCCGATATATAATGATTATAGAAGGTAGTCTTCGATAGGCTTCCAATGCGTTGGCAATATGTATATAGTTGCTGGAACTTTTATTGGCTTTTGTGTCTTTGTTGCACGGTGGTATGTAGAAGAGAGCCTCCTTTAGCAGTGTCACTGTAGGAGCTGGTACCTTGGGTGCTCTGGGACCTGGCGATCTTGTGCACAACCGCAGTGGGCGGTGCAGAAATAGCATAACAGGCCCTTTTGATAGATTGTGAGCCGGTATGGTAATACAACTGTGTGCCTTCCATTTCTATGCGGCAGTCGTGGGAGCACGAGCTTTGAAAGTCGCGAGTCAGACAATATGGTGTTAAGTTTGTGTGGCTTTTTTTTTGTCGCAGTTATTGAAGAGCGGAAGTTTTCAAAGCCTCTGAACTTAATGAAGGCGTGGGCAACTGGAGGTAGTACATCGTTTGTCCGTTGAGCCCAATATTCTTGGTCCTGGCGTTCCTACGCCTCTAACGGCTTGAGAATGTGATGTTAGTTTCGTATTTGTCAATATTCTTCCGGTGACATATTTGGCGATGATTCGCATGTCATACGGTACTAACGGTAGCGAATTGCAACATTGAGGATTCCGAATCCCTAATAGAAGTAGTCAATGAACCCAGTTTTTGAGTTGGTGTGTTGTAACTAATAGAAGTACTGTATACGTCAAATTTGTGGGCAGTAGTACGGTGTTAAAATAGACGACGTATCTCGAACGTATATATCTCACCTATGTATAAAGAACAAAAAACAAATTGAGTAGATATAGTGGATGCGCCACCATACAAAGCTACGACTAAATTGAATAATTTCTTATTCATTTGTGCTTAATGTCGGTGGAAAATGTTCAGAATTTGTTCACGCCTATACTGGAATCCGAATCAATGGTAGTGTTGATTGAATAACTAACCACTACTAGAGTATATATCCTTCGTTGACCTTGCAGACGATGAAATCCGTATAACATACGACGTAAAGATCGTAGAGAAAATTGATTGCTAAATATTGCCTTCGAGCCCGTAAGATAAAAGGACATATGACGGGCAATTTTATAAATCAGAATATTAACAATCTTCTATATTTATTAGACTACTTAAGCTATAAATTTTAAGTCCTTGTGACCCCTGAAGGTACACAGAGTTCAACATAAATAGCAGCGTAGCACTCACAAGCAAATAAGGTAATTTATAAGCAAATAAGATAAATAAGGTACAAGACATCCGATGTCAGGGGCCAACGTATCGGTCACTGAAAATACTACAATTACTTAATAAATAGACCATACCAATTTCTCACCCCCTTTATTACACAGATTCAGGAATCAATTTATTCTGCTGGTGGTCTTGACCATGGACTTGTCGAGGCAAGGTATATGTAAAACAAAAACCGGTTGGATGGAACGCTAGCGTAAATTCATACGAAAATAACCACGGGCTTAAGTTTCAGTCCTTAAACTCCTGTTTATTTTACTCCCACTGTCCTTTTTAAACGTGTCGAGGACAAATTTAAATATGATCTGCCACCCTTTGATGCGCAACGTGTTGTTCTAGCAGTAGCAATGGTAGAGACACCTTCTTCGTCGTCAACACCTACCGCTCATGTAGACAGGCTTAGCCTTCGAACCGATCGGTCATCCTGGACCAATATTGACGACCAATGCAATAATTCATAGTTTGGCATACGGAAAACCCATCACCCATCATAATTTTATGTATTAATCAACTCATTTGTATATATGGAAGATGGTTAATCGACGAAATGCTATTTTGATATAATAAACATATCGGATAGGCTAGATAGCAACTACTTTCTTTAATTAAACCAAATCTGAAATAGAATCCGGTGTTACATACTAAATACTACACAATATCCTCAATATTTGCAATAATACAAAGCCATCTTGATATTTGATAGACTCTATCAAAACGTACTCGTGCTCTTAATGGATGCACCTCCTCCTTTACGCCCTGTGAACAAAAATCCGATGGTTTGTGGTAATTTCTCCATTGTAGTTCTGCGTTGTTAACCAGTGCAATTGACCGTTCTCGACCCATCGCTCTTCCGTCCAGTCATAATCACCTTCATGTTTCTTTACAGAGGCTGCGTGAATCCAAAATCTGCCAGTCGTAGCATCCCACTTTGCTTGCTTTCTGCAATATACTGAGAATGCATCGTCGTGGTACTCAGTCCAACTGAGAAACTTATTATCCATGCCGCGTATTGCACCTCTGTGACATATACCTTTTCTCCTTCGCATGCAACTTGAAGCTCCTGATCAATAGTAAGTGCACACAAGGTCTTCCGTTTCGAATAATTCACACCCCCATCTTTGAGTAGCGGTTCAACTCCTTCAGAGTTGTTTTTGTCCAAGATCCATCGACCATTGAAGCAGTCTAGGTTGCTAATATCTTGTGGCATTATTGTCTCGGATATATAATGTACTTATGCTATGTTTGCGAGATATTTTTGTGATTTCCAAACTGATTATGTGCTCATATTTATATGCTTTCCGAATTTGTGGATACAGAAAAGCCGGAAAGGGAAAGATCTCTTAAGTTGATGCCGGGGGACAGTTAGTGTTGAAAGGTGGACGAGTGGAATGGCTGAACAGTAGTCAATATGTACATACCTCTCGGTCCTCGGATGTGAAAATTAAAATCTCAAATTATGTATGTTGTCGGAACTGTCTGAAACAGTGAAATTCAGAGGAATGGTTTCCGTATGGTATACACAGTATAGACGAGGAATATGAGTATTTGCGAGTAATAAATGACCGTCGGCGTTGTCGCGGCGTCACCTTAGTCCTTGCCTCCTTAGTGACTTAGTTCTTACTCCAATACTCCAGCAAGATAGTATTTGTATAGATCAATATAGAAACTAGAATAGTCTATGTACGATATCTATAAAGTGAAATGACTGAAATCACTATCAGTGAAAGTCTATAAGTCAATATGCACTCGAGTCAATAATCGCGCGAGTCAAAAGTGTTCACTGTTCACTGTTCAGGTGTTGACAGTTGACTGTTGAGTGTGGAAGTTTCAAGTTCGGAGTTCCTCGTTTTCAACACCTACTGAAAAAATAAATACTTCCTTATTCGGAAATTCGGAATTCCTAAGTTCCTTTTGTTCTCCGAGAAAGCGAGGAACCAATATCCAAAGGTTGCGAAAAATAAAGCATTTCATGAGTTTATAGTTTATACCAGAGTGGATAGGAGTCAGTGCTGAGCCTCTGAGGGTTCACCGGCTCAGCCGCAGAGGTCGTCTCACTCGTCTGAGCCCTCAGCCCTGAGGCCTGAGGAGTAAGGACTGGTCACTGGAGACTCAAGAGTAGAGTGAGCCTGTGCCCTGTGAACACTGAACTGTTAACATTGTTACGTGAGAGTCAAGTCAAAGAGTCAGAACTGTGAGTACGGATAACGATTTCATGAAGACTACAACTGGCGCCCTGTCCGCCTTGTTGGCAGGCGGCATTATGGATTCGGGATTGGTGGTGGCAACTTCATATTATTCTATTTCAAAATCGTTTACGTCTATTTCAGTAAACAATTATACATACATACAAACTTGTATACTAATATAATTTGTCTCGTATTGTACGCAACCATCGACCTTCCATCATTGGCTCGTCTTTCAGATGATACCCGACATATTGATGCATATAAATACTAACTCGGATAGGAAAAAAATGAACAAAATCAATATTTTAAATACTAAAATACTCCAAACACGCACATATACAACCATGCCGCAAGACATTAGCAATCTAGACTGCTTCAAGGGTCGATGGATCTTGGACAAAAACAACTCTGAAGGAGTTGAACCGCTACTCAAGATGGGGGACCTTGTGTGCACTTACTATTGATCTAGAGCTTCAATTTGCATGCGAAGGAGAAAAAGTATATGTCACAGAGGTGCAATACACTTCGTTTGTGAATATGATCAACAAAATGGAGCTCGGCATGGATAATAAGTTTCTCAGTTGGACTGAGTACCACGACGATGCATTCTCAGTATATTGCAGAAAGCAAGCAAAGTGGGATGCTACGACTGGCAGATTTTGGATGCACGCAGTCTCTGTAAAGAAACATGAAGGTGATTATGACTGGACGGAAGAGCGATGGGTCGAGAACGGTCAATTGCACTGGTTAACAACGCAGAACTACAAGGGAGAAATTACCGCAAACCATCGGATTTTTGTTCACAGGGCGTAAAGGAGGAGGTGCATCCATTAAGAGCACGAGTACGTTTTGATAGAGTCTATCAAATATCAAGATGGCTTTGTATTATTGCAAATAAGGTGGTAGTGAAATATGAAATATAAATCATCATATGTAAAGCTCACACGCACTGCCGAATGCTCAAGTTTAAATACAATTGCAGTTTATTTCCGCTCCAATAGTTGCATACTGTGCATGACACACGAACGGAAGACAGGGGTTCTCCACGTCTAATTCGGCATTATACATTTGGGAACGTCGATAGAAATCTTTTCTACTTAGTTGCGGAAAGCCTTGCCACAGAAATGTCCCATATCTTCGACAATATGACTCCTAAGTGGTGATCGACGGAGCCTGTCATGTAGTGATTTCCTAGCTGCGCAACACCTCAGGTACTACTGGTTGGTGTGTGTGCCAGCCTATGCCATCCTCACAAGCAAACGGCATCTATATTCCATGTAACAAGTGCACTCGAATGACGTGGCTGCTTTGTCACACCATAGCTATTAAGTCTCACGTAGCCATGGTGATCTTTCTACCCCGATATTGTGCGCTCACAAACACAAATGGTCACGAATATTTTTGAGCATCCCATCGATCGGTGTAGATTTTGAAAGTCTTCGAGGTACACAGGAGCACCCAGTTTCTCCCACTACTCTTGTACTTGTAAGCGTACAAAACGAAGCGCCGTAGCTCGTTTATCAGTTAGGACGCCTCCAGCTTAGCGGTACAAAGGGCTGCGCTTCAATCAGAGGCCCATGGCGTGTCGCATGAGCGCAGTCTGTGATGGGATGGTGAAATCAGATACTAGGGTAAGTAAGTAAGCAAGTAAGTAGGTATATCTGTCGCATGACCACAGTCTGTGATGGTGTACTCTGAGAATGTACACGTGGAGTTGGCTTAACGAGCAATACACACACACACACACACATATATATATATATATAGATATATATAATATATATAGATATATATAATATATATAGATATATATATCATCGTTCAAACACACCTTGAGTGGCTCTACGCCATTGGTTGCATTCAAACCCACCCCTCTAAGGAACGCCAACGGCCCATAGTCCGACGAAAAGAGTCGTTTCAAACCATCTGTAGCCATGAGCATAGGCACATTTGCGCGCTGGGTGGTTGCTTCGTAGCCCATCAGCTGGTGTATGCTGCCTGTGACGCATTTAAATGTGCATGATTAAGCGAATGAGAGACGTGTATATTCAAACGGGTGCTTCTCATCCACACAACAAAAGTCCACACCAATAAGTCTCAACACGGAACATTCTCATATAAACTCACCTATGTCTTCGCCCAGATCAACGCTAGTGTTGAGAACATCCACAAGTACCTTCACGTCATTAAATCCCACATTGACACCCTGCCCTGCCAACGGGTGCATGCGATGGGCCGCATCGCCAATCAGTGCCAGCCGTTTGCGCACATAGTGCACGGAGTGACCCAGACCTGGGAGCGTTGAGTAGGGTCGTGTATATTAATACTAGTACTGAGTGACAGGGGCATAAGGTAGGTAGGTAAAACTACCAGCTCTTTGCGCTCATAGTGCACTCAGTGGGCGAGATATGATGGGAAAAATAAGGGAGGTTACGTCAATACGGAGCGATAGTAGATAAACAGATAACTGGACTTCCCAGCAATTTGCGGGCATAGTGCACTGAGTGGCAGAGGCCTGGTGAAGTTCAATAGGATTGATTATACCAGTACATATATAGGTAGGACTGAACATAAGCCATTTTGTATAGAGTACAGAGAGTGGCCCAGGCTTGACGAGGAAAACAAGAGTGGTCGTCTCAATGTTGCGCGACAGGTAGGCATTTTAGCAAGCTAGGGTACGAGAGCCATCCTTAATGGCTCAAGCTTGGCGGATGAAAGTATATGTGGGTAGTTATACAGGTTAAATAACAGGCAAATAATAAGGGGACGTATATATTACGGGTGACTGAGGACTGTCGGAGTATATATATATGTATATATATATATATATATACACACACACACACATATATATATAACATATATATATATAC